GTGCACGAGGCCAGTTTTGAATGTACAGGGCGTCCAGTCCACAAATTGTAAGTCTTGTGACGCCTGCACCCTGACACCTACATCCACCACGTCATTGGCCTCAAGGTCACCGCGGTGCACTAGACAGCACGACAGTAGAGCTGCTTTCTCTAGTGCACACCGGACCACCTGATTGGCTGGGCGGAAACACTCGAGCGTCCTCTCCCACAGTTCTGAAGGTGGTTGGACTGACAGGGGCGCCAGTGCCCCGACGATGAAGTGGAGTCGAGGGAAGGGGACCAGATTTGCTTGAAGCTCCTCTGCAGTTCTGTTCAGGGAACTTTTCTGACACATTGGCGAGGTTATCAGATCAAGCAGTCGGCCAATAATAATGTTGAGGTCGGCGTTTTGTGGTGTATCAGAACTGCACGTTTTCCTGCAGAAAATAAACCTAAGTTAGGCATAAATCGACTTATTTTTCTTAAAAAAGAGCATATTTAATACGCTTCTTTACTCCAAGATTTCATTTGCCTGTTCTCATCCAGCTTTTTGCTTGAACAATCATTATAAAATTTCAACTCTACCTACTAATTTTCTGATAGAGAAATAAAAGTGCACCTTCAATTCTATGTGAATCAGGATAATAAGCTTTCCCCAAAGTTCTGGAAACATCTAATTTTCAATTTGAAAAACCAGTGCAACGTAAAATTACAGGAAAATTTTAATTAGACGTGTCGACTTAGGTAGTCTAATTACGTAATGTGGTTATCACAGAAGCTGAACAGTTGTCTTCAAATATTCGTTTAGGTCAGCATAGTTGAGCCGTTTGATGGGGGATACTCCTGAGTATTAAGGGTGAAGATGGATTGTATGGCCGCTTAGGCAGGATACCTTTATAGGAACCGCCCAGCATACCTGTGGCTTTGCGCCAACTCCCCACGGAAATTGGGCTAAGAGTTAAGATGGGCGCCAGGGTTAAGTTCAGGGTTAGGTTTAAGGTTGGCAATAAGGTCAGAATAGGGAGGTTAGAGTCAGGATTGTGTACAATATAACTGTAGGGTTTAGGGTTGAGGTATAGCTGTAATTAATTTTTATTTTTATTTTAGGACATTTACCGTCAAGACAGGGACTCCAGGGAGGCCTTTACTGGCTTATTTGCCGTCGTCAGCTGGAAATACCCTACTCCAGTGTAGCAGCGGAAATTACCGCCACACTCGAGTTTCTAACCCGCGGCAATTTCCGCTGCTATATTGGGGTAGGGAATCTCCAGCTGACGATGACAAATAAGCCAGAAAAAGCCTTCCCGGACTCTGTCTTGAGGGTATATATCCTAAAATAATAAAAATGTTACTGAAACATAGTAAGTAACATTACAATTAGCCCCATGGCAACGTTCGTGTGTGCACGAAAATACACAAGGATGTCGAAGACCAGGGCGGGTGTGCACGCCTATCTACTAATTAAGTTTTATGTTAGGTTTAAGACCTGGGAATGTTTACCGTTTAAACAATTTACCCCAAGGCCACACATTTTAAGTGGTTTAGGTGGTTCCCATTTCCGTGTTCTGTCTAGGTGGCCATAAAAGCCACCCTTGTCCTATAAGGAAATAACAGTTTATTTCAAAAGAGCTCGAATACAAGTCGTCTATTATCAGGTCGGCATAGCAAAAACAAAGGAGTGCTGAGAATGGCTAAGGCGAC